AAAACCAGTCATAAGGGTCAATTTTTGAAATTGAGATTTATGCATCATCTGAAAGCTGGATAAATACGTTTTCCACTGATGTATGGTTTGTTATGATAGGACAGTATTTGGCTGAGACACAACTATTTGAAAATCTGGAATCTGCGGGTGCAAAAAAATCAAAATATTGAGAAAATCACCTTTAAAGTTGTCCAAATGAAGTTCGTAGCAGTGCACATTACTAATCAAAAATTACGTTTTGATATATTTACAGTAGGAAATTTACAAAATATCTTCGTGGAACATGATCTTTACTTAATATCCTAATGATTTTTGGCATAAAAGAAAAATTTATAATTTTGACCCTTACAATGTATTGTTGGCTATTGCTACAAATATACCATGCTACTTAAGACTGGTTATGTGCTCCAGGGTCACATATATAAACAAATACTATTTTTTTTTCATAAGCTCAGTGTACTCACCACAGTGACGGCGTCATTAAGTAAAGACTCTCCGAACACCAGGATGTGGAGCAGCTCGTTAATGTGGATCTCCTCAAACACAGCCAGAACAGCCACGGGGTCCACAGCCGAGATGATGGAGCCGAACAGCAGGCACGACAGCAGGTCCACTGTCACCAGTCTATGGCCCTCCAGCTGGCAAACGCCGTACAGCAGACCACCAACGAAGAAGGCATTCCAGAGCGTTCCCACCACTGCAAACATGAGAATAGTGCCCAGGTTCTCAGTGAATTGCCGTATGGGCAAGAAGTAGCCGGCGTCGAGGATGATGGGAGGCAGCAGGTACAGGAAGAAGATCTTGGACTCCAGTACCGGAGGGATCTCGCCTACCAGCTTCATGAGACCGCCGACCAGCAGGACCACCACGACATTCCAGAGCGTTCCCACCACTGCAAACATGAGAATAGTGCCCAGGTTCTCAGTGAATTGCCGTATGGGCATGAAGTAGCCGGCGTCGAGGATGATGGGAGGCAGCAGGTAGAAGAAGAAGATCTTGGACTCCAGCACCGGAGGGTCCTCGCCTACCAGCTTAATGAGACCGCCGACCAGCAGGCCCACCACGATCAGCAGACAGCTCTCCGGCACGATGGAGGACAAGCGAGGGATCAGGTGGAACCCTGAAAGAGAGTGAGGGACATGGATGCATCAAGACAGGACGACTGCAATCATTAGTCATTCATATAATTAGTGATGCTCCAAAAGTCATTTTTTTTTACCAGAAACACAGAAACCAAACATTTTCCAAATTTTAACCAAGAGTTAACCAATACTTTTGCCAAAATTGCAAAAGTAATACATTTTTGCTGTTCCGGCCAAATATTTTTGGTTCCGACAATTTCACTAAATTCATCAACAAATCATCACTAAATAATATAATAAATATAATATAATATAATATATAAATAAAATAAAATAAAATATAGAAGTGAACTGCTGGAAGCAAAAGACAAGCAACTTTATATTCAGTAAATCTGATGATTAATGCAGTTTATAGTCTCACTTTGGTGTTTGGCTTCAGTTCTCTGTACATTAATTAATATTTGGATTAACATATACATTAATTACAATTTGACAAATTTGGCCCATTCCATGTAAATTAGATTTATGGCAATTTTGAATAGCCAGTTTATGGCAATAACCAAATGAAATGCTCATGCGGTGTAGAGTCGCAGCACAAACGACATCAGTGTGAAAACTCAGTGTGATCCTGCAGTTGCAGCTGCACTGATGCTCTGCTGACATGAGAAACCGGTGTGAACCTCAGAGCTGCAGAATGATGTCAAAAGTGTCAGAGCCTCATGACAGGGTCACAATCAAGAGTTTGTTGTTGTGAAAAAAAAGGTCACATTTCAGCCCTAATGCCAGTTAAACTGCTTACCTGAGAGCCGAAAACATTTCAACACATGACTGACTTCCATTCTATCGTCTCTGGTTTGTCATAAGCTTTGTAAGGTTATTATGACCGGTGATAGGAAATCTGTCTATGGAACAGTGATGCATCTGAAATATATTTAAAGACTGACGTCGTCTTCATTTCAACTGAAGAAAGTCATTACAATTATCTACGTAAGCACATACGCAGATCTGTGACACGACAACAGTCAGCAGAGAGCAGGCCCTGGAGATGAGCTCAATTAAAACCTCTGAAAGGCCCTCGCAGGGACTAATGGATCTTCTTATAATGGCTCTGGTCTTTCGTTTCTCCAGCTCAACCCAGAGGTCAACATTTAGCTGGTTAACATTGTACAGTAGCTACAACATTAATGGAGGAAATAAGCCTGTTCCTCCACTGACAGCCATACAAATATTATGCAATCAACATAACAGTTTTGTATTAATTTGTCTATATGCACATGCATCAGAAGTAGGGATGCACCAAAATGAAAATTCTTGGCCGAAGCCGAACAAAATGAAACACTGGGCCGAAGGCCAAATACGTTTTTTCACATTTTTTCCCCCCATGTAGGCCTATTTTGCCACTTTTTTTCACCATTGCATTAATTAAATAGCCAAAATGTGCTTTTTACTGTTTTGTCCTGCTTTTCAAATAAAAAATCAATTACAAAACAACAATTTAAAAATATTTACTTAACACTGAACTTTTTTTTTTTTTTACATTCTAGCAGACATTATACCAACTAAATACCAACTAAAATAATATTTTTTGGCCATTTTTGAGACAGGTATGTATTTTTTACTGTACAAATAAAGGCAGCCTTGCTGAGCAGAAGAGAATTATTTTAAAACATTAGAATATATTACAGATCCCAATTTGAACACTATGTGAGAATGTTATAATAAATGTATTAATAGAGCTGTTGTAGGGTAATTATTATTATCATTATTATTGTCTTACTTTTTATTTAATTTTACAGAACAACAGTAAAATTACAATACTATCATTTATGAATGTTGATGGAGTTGTTGCTTTTTCTCGGCTTTTATTTTGGCAGAAACCCGCAGGAAGATCTCAGTGCTTCTTTTCGTTAACAACAGCATTTATAAATGATTCTCATTACGAATTTGGGAAGATGTTTGTCGCACGTATCACATTGTCACATGCCTTTAAAAAAATTCGCAAAAATGTTACTGAGCAACTGACGAGTAACAGTTTCAGCGCAGATTTTCCTCACACTTTGGACTTTGAACCCTGGCGTCAAGAGCTCGTGCAGCGCTGTTTGAATACATGCAATTCGTGCGTGCATTAGAAAATATATCATTCTGCAGTTTATTTACTAATCGTTTGAGGCCATTTCGCAATTTCAATCATCATACAGTAGCCTAACCACCAGCATCAGCCACCTCTTCTTCTCATCGGAGACATGTGATGCAGCACTAAACAGTCTCTCCCTGTCTGTGCTTCGTGCTTGTAATTAATTCTGCGTCTTTCTCTGAAAGTTTTAAATACTTTCACACTGCCGACATGTTTTGCTGCATTAATGTGTGCCTCTATTTGATCGTGTTAGTCATTGTTTGGTACATATTATTCAGCCTTTTTGCTTATTCATATTATTAAGAGATTTTTTTGCTATTTTCGGCCGAATAATTTTGGTTGCCGAATATTCGGTGCATCCCTAATCAGAAGGACAGGAAGTATTTTTTCAGTGTTTTGTTAAAAGTGTCCTGTTAAAAGTAGTAACGAGTTTAACAACCTGTGGTTTGTTACATTCTGTAAAAGAACATTAAAAAAAAAGTCATAAAACAAACAAATTGTAAAATAAAATAATCAATAAAATAAATAACATTGGCTTAGTTTTACTAGTTTATTGAAAAAAATTATAAATAACTCAATTAAACAAAAATACAAATAAATAGCTTCCCCTTAATTTTACTGCATTATCAAAATTACAATATAATATAATTATTAAATAAATCACTTAAGTTTAGTTCCACTGGATCATCAAAAAATTACATAAAAAAAAAATAAAATAAACAAAAATAATTATTTGGCTTAATTTCACTTATTTATCAAAAATAAATAATAAATCAATAGTTTCTGCTAACTTTACGAACATAATATAATAAAACAATAATCCAAAATTTACCCAAAAATAAATAAATAAACAACCTCACCTTAGTTTCACTTGTTTATAAAAATATAATAACTAAAATAAACAATTAAATAATTAAATTAATAAATAAAAAATAAACAACTTTTCTTAGTTTCACGGCATAATCTAAATAACATAAATAAATAAATTCAGTTTAGTTTCCCTGGATCATCAAAAAATTACATAAAATGAAATAAAGTAAAATAAACAATTTGCCTTAGTTTCACTTGTTTATCAAAAACAAAATATAATAAATAACAAAAATAAGCAAATAAATAATTAAACAAATAAACTAATAATTTATGCTTAGTTACACTGCATTATGCAATTGCAATAAACAATAGATTTAGTTTAGTTTCAATGGATCATTAAAAAATAAAATAAGAAAATAAATAAAAACAAAGCACTTTATTTTAACTGCATGCAAATTGCCACATGGCTATTTAATATATAAACAATTTTTAGTAGACATTGAGGCAAAAATACCTATATTATGACAGAGTTAAGGTCTTTGCACACTGAGTCAGAATCCCTCAGCTATTATGAGGTGATTTGACCTTCACATTGGCACCGTGCCCGTCGTGAGGCCCCTCAGACAGCCAACAATGAGCCCCCAGGAGAGGCTGTGAATTATTCAGAGCCCAGGGTGACACGCGTCTTCTGCTGGCATGTGTGCAGAGACGAGAAAACAGCGTGAACATGCTACCTGCGTTCAGTGCACCAACACACACTGAGCACATCCAATTAAAAACGCTCGTTAGCACATAACAAATGTCAACATCTCACCGCTACAGAAATGAAGCCTTCATGCAAGCTGTGATCTAAATAACTCATTGACTTCACATGTTCTCGCTTTTTTACACAAGCCTTGCCTTGAAGTGGCAAGGGAACAAAGTTAATAGCTGGAGAGATGAGGAAAAAAGAAAAGATGGATGAAAGGGCCCAGAATGTACACTTTTCTAGCAATATCTTTTTCCCAGCAGTCCACCTTTAATTAAGGTTTCTTGCCCCAAAACAGCCCCTTATAACCTTGGAATTAATTAAAAGGATGTTCTGTAACTTTAAGACAACTGTATGCAAATGGACTCAGCAAAAATTGACGAACTATGCAGTGCATCAAAATCTTCTGCACACAAAATGGTCACTTAAAAAAACACGCGTATAAACTCAATGTAAACGTTCTCTGATCCAGTGTTAGTCTTTTGTTAATATTTTGAATAAGATTTTTTTATATTTTCTGTTTTCACTTCACCTCATTGTTTTAGTTAAAGTTTTAGTAATTTTGTTGTGTTTTGACATTTTTATTAGGTTTATTTTATGTTTATATAGTATTTTTTCATTGTTATATATTTTAAATTAGATTTTATTTTTGTTTTCAGTTTTCACCTTAATTTTAAAGTTTTAAAATTTAAAATTAATTAAAGTGAGTAATCATTTTGATGCGTGTTTTTCATTTTTATTAGTTTTTCTTTTTTTATATTTTACTTTATTTTATTTCATTTTGGTTACTGTTTATTTCAAGTAACAAAAATGTCTTCGTTAACTAGAACTACCCTGTTTTAGACATTCTTAAACATTCTTTGCAAGACCTGCTCTCTCAGCAGACGTTTATGTGCATCCACTCAAGCAGCTCTTGTAGGAATCTGACGGCATGCATGACAAAACTGGACACTGTTCCTCGCAGCTTTACTGCTCTACTAAATCACAGCAGAGGACTAACAATCACACAGACTGAACAAGGACAGATCGAGTGTGTGTGCTCTTGGCTCAAATTCACACTAAATAACTGGACATCACATTCATAAGCCCAGGGCTCGCAAAATTTCAAAATCCCTGGTAGCCCTTCGGGCAGGTACTCTTCAGATTTTGGTAGACCGAAAATTTATTTAACTAGCCCAAATAAAAAAATACCTTTTTAAAAAAAAAAAATATATATATAGAAAATCAGATAGGAGTTTAAATGTCAATCAAAAATATTTTCAATACACAAATATCAGTACCCAACTGTAAGACCTCTTGAAATTATAATTAGGACATTTCTTATACCATTTAGCGTATTTAAAAAA